GGAGGGGAGGGAGCGGGCACGGCCCGGGAGAGGGGAGGGAGGCGGGGAGAGGCGAGCGGCGGGACTCCGGCACCGCCAGTGCGCGCTGCCAGCCCGGCAGCCAACTTCCCCGCTGGAGTTAGTGTATAAAGGATACCATATATGCACACACACATACACACACCTCTCCGCCAAGGCGCTCCTCCTCCGCCTCCTCCCTCGACCAACTGCTGGAATTAAAATAAAAAAAAAAAAAAAAAAAAAAAAAAAACAAAACAAACACCCAAAAAAAAAAAAAAGCAAAGCAAAGCAAGCAACCACCAAAAACAACAAACCGAGCGAGAGAGCGAGCGAGCGGGAGAGGGAGAGAGACAATTCGCGAGGTAACGAGAAATTTCAACTTTTTAATTATTTTTTTTTTTTTACTTTTTTTTTTTTTTTGTCTTCTTTTTCCGACCGCCTAAAGGAAAGGTAGAGAGAAAAAAAATGTCTTATCCAGAGCGTGACTCTAGCAAGAAGGCTCCGACAGGACTCTTGTTTCAAAGGGGACAAAGTGCTCCAGCAGCAGCACAACTTTGAGAAATGCATCATCACCACCATCACCACCATCATCATCACAGGAAGTTTTCTTAGGACACCAACAAAACTTGCAAATAAAAGAGCAAAAGGAGACCGAGGAGCCGAGGAGGAGAGAGAGAAAGACAGAGAAAGAGAGACAGAAAGAAAAAAAAAAAAAAAAGGAAAATAAACCCACACACAAAGCCTTAAAGGAAGAAGAAAAGGAAAAGTTTCACTCTGAGAGGGGAAGGCTGAGAGGTGGAGATGTACTCCTAGGGGAGCGGAGGGGAGAAGGCACGGGGGCTTTTTGATCCCCCCCCCCCCTTCTTTTTCGCTTTTTAGCCTTTGTTTGGTTTCCTCCCTGCGAGCAGCAAACTCGGGCGAGAAGAAGGCGGAGGAAAAAAAAAATATATGTACAGCTAAATATTTCTCTTTTTTTTTTTTTTGGAAAAAAAAAGCAAAAAAAAAAAAGGAAAAAAAAAGCGGTTTTAAAAAAAAAATAAAAAAAA